ACGCGTGTACAAGTTCGCGAACAAGCGATCAGGGTTTAGTGACCCCGCAAATGGCCGAAAGCTGTGATCGCCGTGTACAACCCCTAACCGATCAGTCCCTTGGGGAGTTGGACAACGCACAACGGACCGTAATGTGATATACTTCGAAAAAGCAACCCACTGACCTCAGGTATCGACAAGGTCTGGATGCCCAATAAGCCGCCGTGAGCAAGAGGGAGGACACTTCTGTTTTCTGAATCGAGTCCTATCCGCCATACTGTCACAGGGGGTGGATACGGCTTCCAGTCGGGCACGCTTTTGACGACGACCATCTCGACGTCGAGGCCGGCGGCGCGGGCCTTCTCGACGGCCATGCCGAAGTTGAGCACGTCGCCCGTGTAGTTCATGACGGTGACGAGGACGCCACGGGTGGTGTCCACGCGCGAGGCGATGGCGGTGCGCACCTGCTCGGCGCTGGGGCTGGCGAAGATGGTGCCGGCGACGGCGGCCGAGAGCAGGCCCCGGCCGACCATGGCCGAGAAGGAAGGCTCGTGGCCCGAGCCGCCGCCCGAGACCACGGAGACCTGGGGCGCGACATCGGGCGACGGCCGGCGGTAGATGATCTTGTTGGGCATGTCGAGGGCGAGGCTCGGATTCGTCAGGGTCAGGCTGTGCAGGGCCGAGTTGACCAGCTTGGTGGGGTCGTTGATGAAGTGTTTGGCTGACATGCTGGGTGGTGAAGCTCCCGAGATCCGTCGGGTGCGTGGATGTGTGAGACAGAGCGTGTGGGGGGGGGGGGGCGGTGGGATGATTTGATGATGTCAGATGAGACACGTTCTCAAGCTTCTAGAAAAGAACGACTGCGACGGGGTATATGTAGATGAAAAAGATGACAGCTCGGATGGCCCTCGAAAAGGCGAATCTAAGGAGGAACTGAGGGGGAGGATGGTAGAAGTGAACCCCGCGAGGAGCTCGCGGTCATCTCACACGGAAAAGAACCCGACCCCATGTAAGTCGGGCCTGGAGAACCGAGCAATCGGATAACCATGACGACGTCCCGCGCAGCTCATGTGCGAGTGGTGCAGTTTGTGGTAGGTAACCTGTGTGTGTGTATAGCTCCGTGACGCGGGGTGGTGCGGGGCCGTAGGTAGGTAGGGAGCTCGTCACCTCATTCGGAAAGCCCAAGCGCCCCGGGGGGGGGGGGGTTAGAGCACTGTGCGAGTAGGGGGACATCTTTAAGCTCCCACACGATAGAGAAAATGAGAGTGACAGTAAGAGTGAGAGCATTCCGGCGTCTGCGAGAGCAACTGTTGCCGCAACGGGGCCAAGTCGATTTTGAATTCCCAAGATGGTGGAAGCGCACGCCGCTTGCAAAAAACACCCCCCAAATATTCCGAGTCTCAGAACAACAAGAATGTTCACATCATCGTGGCTCCTTCACAGCCGTGTTAACAACAGGGGAGCACAGGCGAGGAAGCACCATGGCAAACAAAGTTGGTCCAATCCCAAATGGGGAAATGTGCTCATATATATTGAATAAATTGATGTGTGTGGTATATCTCACGAGCCCGGTCTCCTCGTCCGGATCGGAGGGAGGCTAGGCCCAATTCCATGCATCAAGAACAGACCGCTCTCAAAGCTGGCCTTTGTCCCTCCCCCAAAAACGCCACGCCGTTTCCAATGCTTATCATAAGCAGATTAAAATTGTTATCGTAAACCCTGATCGCCCAAGTCGTCGTGCAAGAAACATGCAAAAAAGTCCGCCTGCCTTTCTCAGAATCACTTTATGAGGAAGACGCACCCTGCCACGATGCTCAAGGTGACGGCTGTCGTGGCGAAGGCGGCGGCTACCCTGTCCTTGGTTTCGATCGGAGCTAGCGTGGGGATCTTGGGCTGCGTGCTCATGCCGGCGTTGGCATTGCCGACGGACGTGCCTCCCGTGTCGGCCGTCACCGGCGCCGTCTTGGTGTCGGCCTTCTTGACGAGCATGTACATGGAGGCGCTGAGAGCATTCATCTGTGCGCCGACGCCGACCAGGCCGTCGAACTTGCCCTTCTCCGCCCACTGGAAGCCGCATGCCGTGCCGGCGGGCCCCTTGTACCCGGTCGCGGGGGATCCATTGCACGCCGCGACGGCGGCCTCGGCGCTGGGCCGCAGGAGGCCCATGATGCGGTCGAACATGCTGGGCACCAGCTGCGCCGTCCCGGCCATCCACCGCGTTAGGTAGCCCTTGAAGCTCTGCTGGTCGTTGTCGCACAGCCGGAAGGGCTCGCAGGCGTGCTCCGACATGGCGCTGTTGTTGAAGAAGAGCCCCGTCGCCTCGGTGAGGATGCCATCGGTGCGGGTGAGCCACTTCTGGTCGTTCGTCAGGTTGTACATGGCCGCGGAGCCGTGCATGAAGATGCCAGCGTTGTACGACCACTGGATCGTGTCCATCTTCGTGCAAGTCTTGGCGTCGTCGATCGTGGCGCCGTCGTAGATCTTGAAGTCCGGCGTGATCAGGCCGACGGTAGTTTCCCAGTCCCAAACCTTCTCCGCCCAGTCCGCGTACGTCTGGTTGCCCGTAAACCGCGCCAGCCGAGCCGCGATGTTGAAGAAGCAGCCGTTCGAGATGGAGTTTTTGTAGTTGAAGCCGTTGTTGAAGGTGAAGATCTGCCACCGCAGGCCGCCCCCGCACGTTTCCGGGTCCCAGCGGCTGACGTACTCGTTAAAGACGGCCTGGGCGAGTGCCAACCATTGCGGCTGGTCTTTTGGTGGGTTCGGGAAGTTGTTCTCTGCTGCACTCATGGCCGCCATCGCCCAGAACCCCTGGTCGTCGTTTCCCTCCGTCCTCGTCTGGTTCCTCGGCATGAAGTCGGCATCGTCGCCGGCCTGGTGAAGCATCGCCTGCGTCGTAACGTCGTTGTATGTCGAGTCCCCTGTCAAGCGCCAGTAGTCCACCATTGTGCCAAACATCGCTCCGGCTTCCCACCCTGCAATCATGTCAGCCTACGTGAGAAGGAAGGAAAGGAAAAGCTGGCAACATACAGAAATAGGGGTCAGGTAGGTTTCCCGGGACATCGCCGGTGTTGTTCCCCGTGTAGTACTTCAACAGGCCAAATGCAATTGTGCTCGCTCCATCCTTAATGGACTGGTCTTGGTCGAAGTTGATATTGATGGCAGCATCTGCCACATGGCCCAGCACGCATGCCGCGCCGGCAAGCTTCAACAAACCCCGCATGGTTGTATGTTACTTGTGGAACTTCTGTTACCGAAACGTAAATGCCCAAAAGGGGCGACTTGAACCAAGGCGTCGTTGTGAATGCCGTTGTGAATGCCGTTGTTCTATGCCTCGGCCCTTGGCACTTTCGGTTTGGTGTAGATGTGATTTGGCTATAGAATGGCGAAGTATATCAAACCGAATATCATCGCCAAGAAATCGTAACCGAAAAAAAAAATTTGTCGCCTGGACGTGGAAAAAAAAAGGGAAAAAGAAGAACAAAAAAAAAGCGACGATAGATGTGAAACCCCCAAACGGCAATCTCCTGGTTAAAACTCGACCAGGAGTGAAAAGAGCGGAATAGACTTGTAAACAAGTCTTCGTAACGACCTTGCGTTTACGAAAAGAAAGAAATGCTTCGGAGGAAACCAACAAAGCCTAGGCGAAGCGCACAAAAGGTGTAAGAGGAAGAAGAGAGGATCGCCGTGACGTGGGGAGCGACGAGAGAAAGTGTGAAAGAAAGCAAGCAAGCAAGCGACTTCGTCGATCCTCGAGACAGACACTTGCTGGCTTCTGCCGGGTCGACCCCCCCGTATTGCACGTTTCCAAATCTGGGCGCCCCCAGCAGTCTTGTCACATAGGCGCGAACCCATACCCTTACCACCTCCCTCTTTCCTCTCCGACAGGGACCAACTGAGGTCAAAAAGAATTGGGTCCCGTGTCGAAGGTGGGTTGGGGAGGGAGGGGAGGACGAGGCAAGCGAGGCTGTGCGTTCGGGACCCGTGAAGGGATGAAACAGTTGCGGTTCGAACTTGGCAGTCTATCCGTCTCATGATGAGCCGCAGGCCCCCTTTTCGACTACAAAAGTGTAACCGGAAGGGAAGAGAGACGACTAAGCATTTAGACTCGTGGGCCAACTCAAAATGTGCCAATGAAGATCAGTACCTCTCGGACGGGCAGGACGTAAGGCAGAGTGCTGAGAGAGTATTTGTTCCTCCGAGAGCCATCCGGGCATCAGGCGCGACACGGAATGCGTGTTGGAGATACTGAGAAGCAACCAGCTCCCTTTCTAGAGCGGGGGGGGGAAAAAAACTCTAAAAAAAACTCCGAAAAACTGAAAAAACTGCGGGCCATGAGCCGGCCTTTGAACAGGTGCAGGCCATTCTCTCCGTGTGAGGAAGTAACATTAAACCACACTCGATGCATTAGCAGTGCAGAATTCAATGGGCCTGCTGCTGTGGAAGTGGGAGTCGACGACAATGCATGCAAAAGAAAGGCATGGCACGGAAGGCACGGCATTACGGCTACTAAGATCTGGATAAAGACAGTCGAGTCTGTGCGTTCTGTGGAACTTTCGGTTGCATAGCTATTTTCGGCTTCGCCATGTGTTGGGATGGTCCTCGCGGTTGTGTGTGTCTTTCGAACCACGTACGCACAGCCACGCTTTTCTGATCGACGTCTGCAACTCATAGTTGCCGTCCGGTACAAGTTGAGGTCCTCAAAAGCTGGGGGAATATCAAATAATATCCCTTGGCCTCCCTCCCCCCCCGCGCAAACTTGACACTGATCGACCGCGAACGGAATTAATCAAGAGCCTACTCGGCACGCTACAACCGTGGAACCCAGAGTCGCGACAAATTGCCATGCCGCGGATCTACGACGCACTGATCTGCTGTCGCCTCTACGCCGTTTGCTTGGCGGCCTGATTCTTCACATCCCCCGCCGCGAGGACCGAACCCTCGAGTTGTGTGGTTTGTCCACAAGATCAGCCGTCTCGATGCGGTTGTTGTTGCCTGCGGACAACGCAACCAACACAGGGCACGGACTGAAGTCACCGCAGAACCGTCGACCCGGTATCGCAATATGACGCAGCGACGTAGCGGTCCGTCGTCCATCGGCAAACATTTCGTTTCGAGGTCTGTTGGAGGCCGTTGTCTCGCTCACGCGGACCCGAAGTGCCAACACCGGAGTCCGTTGCCGCAAAGTTGTGCTCGGAAGCTTCCAACCCGTCTATTCAAAGTGGATTGATTGCCTCGACCGTTACTCGACGAGAGTGGCCAAACGGCGTTGATCACTTAGACCGACTTGGGCAACGAAACAGCAGACGCCTCGGGACACGTCATATCAACCTTCTTCGACTTTCGAACCAGGAAACTACTGCATATGCTGCTTCTCACATTGAACGCTTTCTAGGTAGTTATACTAATGGCCACTGCGTACCTAGGTAACTAGTCCACCGATTGCTTTTTCTATGGCGATATACGTCTCTGGAATGGCTGTAGCCTTCGGATGGAGACCTACCTATTGGCATACTTCTCTCGTCTCCATATCCCACATCTACAGTACCCGTTGTCGCCATTTCTGGCCAAACCTTGAGCATGATCGAATTTGACCTTTGGATATTCAAGCAAATAAACACGAAAAACCATTTCGAAACATGTCACGCCGGCATCATATCACAGTAAACCTTGAGCGCTCGCAACAACTCGTTTCAACTTCGTGCAGACGATTACTCTCTCTATGTATCGCTAAAGGCACTATCGGCGATCCAGGCCGTGGTATAAGACGATGCCGTACTCGTCCGTTTGTCATTTCATTCATTCGTACGCGTCATCATTCCCATTTTTCCCATTCCTGAAGCAGCTTCTTGCTCTCTTCCCTTGCCCAGAGAGACCTTTCCTGCTCCAGCTTGGCCATCCTCTTGTACATCTCCACAAATATCTTTTGCCGCTCGAGTACCTTGCTTTCGAGGTACTTGGGATCATTACGGCGGCAAGCCTTGTCAAAAACAGTCCTCATTCGGGTAGAATACAGTTGACACGATGCCTCTTCGAGGCGTTGGGGTTTCACGTAAAAGTTCCGCGCAATGACGTTGCCATCCTTCAGCTGGGGCTCGACCACTTCGTCGAAGCAGTCGCCGCAGACGGTGAACTGGGGAAGGAATTGCATGACATGCCAGCTTTGATCGAAAACCGGATTGTCCTTGGAGCACTCGGCAAACGCCGAGAGGCTCTCAATGTCCGTCACAAGCTTGCCAATGTTGGGCGATTGGGTGGTTGCGAGTGCGAGATCCGACGTTGTTTCTAGCGCATCGAAATACATCACGAAGCGCTTCCGATCGGGGTTGAAATGCATCGCACAGGCACTCCTCGTGGGCTGTGCCGCCGGATGGAGAGTGACAAACAGTCCAGTCAGGTTGGGCAGAAGTCCTTCGATGGTTTTGGCGCACTCGTAGCAGACGGTAAAATCCGGCATCGTCGTCTGCGTAAACGGGTTCTTGATCGAGTACCAGACGCGGGTAATCCGACGATCTCCTGGGCATGGTAGAACGCCACCGGTAACCTTGCTGGTGACATTGGCGACCTGGTAAAACAGACGCAAGTCCGTGAGGCGGTTCTTCAACGTCAGGAGCCACGCAATGTGATACCACCCACATGCCCCGAAATCGCAAGCAACTGGCTTGTCCATTGGACGGAAAAGCATGGGCATGAAGTCGTTGCGGAACTCGGTGTTGAGGAACACCCCGTTGTAGCAGTCGGGGCAGATGTTGAAGTTGTCGCATCGTGGCAGACTGAGCCAATCCGCTTTGCCAATGACGCCTTTCTTGCGGGGGCAGTCGGGGAAATCAGGCACGCCACCTCGGTCTGTGTCATGAGAGTACCGCCGGTAGCTACCTTTCGGTCCATCCACGACCGCTGTGCTGCTCTTTGCCGGGTCAAACTTGGCTGGTGGCCATGCCTCTGTCGGGGGAGCTGTCAGAGCAGACTGTGCGAAGTTGGGCCGTCTCTCGGGCGACCTCCTCTTTTCAGCGGGGCTCCGTGGCCCGGCAGGAGCCGGCATGGCTGGCATGACGGCCGGAATTATCACTGGGTTGTTGAAGGTGGATGCACGAGACCGGGAGCGCGCTCGCGGCACGGGCGGCTCTGGATCGCGCAGGCTGAGACGGCTTGTCGTGGGTAGCAACAAGTCGTCCTCAGGATACGGAACGGTCTTGTCTCTGACATCTCCACTGTCCCTCGGCTCCCTTGTCACTGGGAATGTTTGCGAAGAGCGAGGCGGGGGTGGAGGCGGGATATCGTCCACGAATGACATGGTGGATCCTCGAGGAGACGGCATGACTGCTTCTGATGGCGGAGGACGTGATCTAGACCTACCAGACCTGGACGGTCTAAGTTGCTCAGGGCTCAACAGGATGTCCTTATCTTCTTGATCGACAATCGACTTTCTCCGCCGAATATTGGCCGCCCGAGGCGTCGTTTGCGCATAGTCGCTGCTGCTAGAGCCACTATCATCTCTTCGTCGCGGAGAGTCGCGCTTATAAGTCGGTGTTCGCTTCGAGCCACTCTCATGATCACGATCCGAGCGGTCATAAGGCGGAGACGGGTCCTTCTTTTGCGGCCGTTCGCCACGCGGGACCATTCGTTCGCGTTGATGACGAGAAGACTCGCCAATCCTGTCGCCGGATAAGTGCCTCGGCTCCTTGGGCGGAGAGTCGACGCTGGTGTTCGAGCGCCGGGCCGGCGGTGGGTTGGATGAGGTTTGTCGGTCATAATTATCGTCAAACCGTCTATCTCCCATATTGGACTGACTTCTCCGAGGTCGCGGTGCGCCGTTGCGACCGTTTTGGGAGTAATCATAATACGCCTTCTCGCGGCCACCCGTGGCATGCTTGATCACTTGCGGGGATAGTAGGGTTTCGCCTGATTGTCGCCTGTCGTTGTGTGACAAGAAGTAGTCGGATGACTGCTGCTCGACGCGCGTCGCCGACTTGGTTCGTTCGTGTTTTTGGGAACGGGAATCCTCTTTTCCGACGTCGGTCTCGATGCGGGGGAGGTCCTGCCTGCTCTTCTTCCTCATGAGATCCGGCTGTTTGACACCATCTCGATCTGTTGTCGGAGGCGCACGGTATTTCCTTCCCGTGTTCGCTTCATAATCGTCGTTCGGTGGTGGATACTTGGGCGTGCGAGAGCCGTTGGAGGACCGTTTTGCATCGTCGGCAGAATCCTCATCTTCTGTTCCACTCGCGGATTTCGGGATCAGAACAAATCGGCGTTCGGGATTGTGTTCATGGACCTCCATGATAATGGGGTACTGGTCGGCATCGCCTCGCGACGGAGGCACGTCATCAGAGGATGCTGACACGACGCTGCCGTGCTCCTTGAGAAGCGCTTCGGACTCATCTTCGACACTCGGCGGCGGCGGAAAGTGTCTGCGGCGAGTGATTCTCACCGGTGGACTGTAAGGCTGGAGGATGAACGCATCCGGGTTGGAGACTGGCCGCAGAATGTTGGAGGCGTTTGAAATGTGTGGAGGAACAGCCGGAGCTTCGGTGCTAGATCTGTCACTTGTGTAAGACATTGGTGAAAGAGGCATCGCAGGGAAGACGGGTTCGGATATGCATACGTCTTGGGTGTCTTGGCTCTAGAGGTGGTGAAGAAACCAGTCTGGAGGAGATTTTCAATATTGCGTGATTCGTTCATGTTCGGATGTTTTAAAGTCAAAGGTCACATAAGATCAAGCAAGATGTCGAGACTTCGAAGGCATCATGTCTCGGAAGTCGGCGAGGAGGGATGCGAAAGACCCCGGTTCCCAGGTAGCTGCCGCAGTCTCGTATGATGATCTTGCCCGGTATTTTCAATGCTTATTGCCAATGGGCCAGACTGAAGAGTGGTGTTGCGTTGGTGATGGCGGACTTGGTTCAATTATGAGTAGGTGGGCGTGGTTCCGACTAGCCAGGCGGGGGGGTAGTATATGGCCAAGGTAAAGTAAAGTTGGAGAGAGAGAAAGGTAAGGACGGAAGGTCTTAACCGGCCCAGAGCCCCAAACAGTCAGCCACTGGTCAGACAGGCTATTAAGGATTGGAAGAGGGCGTTTTGTTTTGGTGGTCAGGCGGGGGAGTAGGAAAGTGGGATCTGGGAAGCGTCGAAGATGCGGCGCAGGCGTAAGTCCTTATTTGAACAGTGGGTATGTATGGTAGTGGTAGTGCCCCTCCATGATGACGGGGTGGGTGCGGGTGCAGGTGCAGACTGGGCTAATTTGTATCTGCATTGGGAAATACCCTCCCTCCCCACCCAACCCAAACGCCCGCCATATATTTCCATCTTTCCACACCCATCCATCCCACTCTCCCCCGGCGCAGTGCTCTTGGTGCCCCGGGCGTTGTTCGATTGTCGATTGCCGATTCCATGTTTGGTGCTCTCCGCCGTTCCTAGTGCATCAACAACAACAACAACAACAACAACACACACCCACACACACACCCACACATACGGATACACACACGCACAACACACATTCACCTTGACTAGCCAGTGCGGTCACCGAGGTGATACCGTCCCCCGAGACGCAACTCTTTGATCTTTAAATTCAAGGTGCAAGAGCAGGAAAGGGTCACCCCTCACAACAAACCTGCCGCTCTGATGCAGGACCGAACTTTGGCTCGCCGGCCTCACATATTCCCTGCGTCGTCAGGCGCCTAGGTCGGCAGCTGGCGGCAGGGCCTTACCTTGGAAATCCGACGTACGTCCATCACATCCGTACCGAACCACGCGCGATATTGGAACAAGGAACGCAGCTAGGTACCCGAATGCACTCTGTTCATTTTGTTGTTGGCCCAACGAGTGTGTGTACACTATGGTGTATTTGTACGCGAATACACCACACATCATTACTTAATTCTTTGGAATGGTAGGTAGGTGGTGGCAACACGCCGACTCGAGAGGCACCATTCCCACACTTTCTTTGGTCCTCGCTTTTCTCTCTCGCCCCCTCCAACCTGCAGGATGATGGCAACATAGCCATGCCTACGGTCCATCTTGCAGATGGGGGGGCCCCTCAGACGCCTCAGAAGTCCAAGCCTAACGTTCAAGCGTGCATTCGGCCCAAGGCCAAAGTGCATCGAGCTGTATCCACTTTGCAGCCGGTTCTTAACCTCCGGCTTGGACACTGCATATGCTGGGAACCTGTTTAGGGCAACTGACGCTGTCGATTCAGCCTTCGACATTTCACAGGGTGCCTGTCTGCCACCCCAGAGCTGAAAGCCCGGTACCACGACAGGCCTGCCCGATTTCCGACTTTCTTTACCCAACGTTGCACGGCCTGCCTTGCACGGGGCCTGACCTTTACCCTCTGCACAGATGGAAACGAACTTCCTGTATCCTCAACTATTGCTCGTGTTGGCCAAATGACCCGCCCATTAGGGCTTCGCTGTCACCAACACTTTCCTCCAAGGCGAGGTTGCGACGGTGTATTGCACGGATTGCATGCATGCGGGTTTTGCTAAGGGCGACAGGAGCATGCGCCACGCGGCGTGGCCGCACGCTGCTGCTTAACGGCCAACTAGTCACACCATAGGGGAGGCAAGGGAGGAGAGGGCTTAGTAGACGTTGGATCCCATGCCCAGCACAGCGGCAAGTTTCTGATTACTACGCCGTATTCGCAGGCCGAGGCCGACTTGTCTGACAGCGTGACAAAGTTCGGTTTAAGTACTGCCGTTGGTTGGGACGGCGTGGACCCTCTCGCCTCATCTCTGCTGTTGAGACGGATCGGATCTTCTCGAGTGTTTCCACGAGAGAGCTGGAGCCGAAACACCCCCGTTTCTTATCTTGCATCTCTAGAACCGATCCATGAGAACATACATGCGGCATCCCGTATCCCGTTGCCAAGTTTGCCGGAGGATACTATGGCCGTGTCAGAACGCCGTCTAACTCGCCCTCACCCACCTTTAGGCTTCGATACTCGCCTGTCTTCTCTTCTCCTCTCTTCTCCTCTCCTCTCTTCTCCTCTCCTCTCTTCTCCTCTCCTCTCCTCTCCTCTCCTCTCCTCTCCTCTCCTTACCCCTCCATCCACAATCGGGTCATGCAGACGGCTAGCTGCCGCGGATGGTGGATAGCTCAAGTGCGCTTATAGACCTTCCAAAGTCCCCTCCCCGACGTGTTAGAGCTGCAGCTACGCTACGCCTGCTCGTCATTCGGACTGCCATCGACACCTTCTGCCCCCGATGATCTGCAATCAGGAAGAGCGGTGGAAATAGGTTGCAGCATCCCTCACGCCACTACCGCTCACGGCCCCGTTCACGGCCCCGTTCAATGTGACAGAAAGCTCGACGTTCAACGTATTTAACGTTGCTAACCATTTTTCGATCTAATCAACTACGCCGAAGCTAAGTGCTGTGGCCCCTGATTGAGACCATCCAAGCTCCTCATGCACCATGCAGCATGCAGCTTTTTTTCTTAATGCCTGCAAGCCTATCTTTGGCATCAAGTTCTTCTCGTGACCCATCCTGTCTCTCCGGGAACAAAGAGTCACTAGAGCCCAACACGGACGATGTCTTCGCCCTAGGTTTCACAGACCTCCCCTGCTCTTGGCTTGCCAAACGCCTGTCGGCTTGCCGCTGACACGAATAATGTGTTGAGTCGGCTACGAGGAGCCGAACCAACCTCCTGACATCATGGCGATATGTACGATGTCCCTGTAGGCATATCTCCGAGTCCTTTTTTTTTTTTTTTTTGCCAGGTCTGCATTACCTTTCCGACCTGAAGAGACCTGGGGCTAATTCAGTTGGTGTGCGGCCGAGCAAGAATCTAAGCCCGGGAGCGGCCGGATCAGGTGCGGATGGGATTCTCGGCGGAGGCAGGTTGCAGATGCTGCACAACCACAACGGAACGGCCGGGATGCCGAGCAAAACTCAGCTGCATTCTGTGTGGGTGAAGCCACGTAGCCCGAACTTGAGCGAGAAGAAGACTGCTCCGAAAACGGCGACCAAGAAAATAGCCCCTCCCTGCAAAGGTTCCGAGATGACTCCTCTGACTACCAGCAGTCCACTAATCGCGCTGAAGATGATGGGGTTTATGAGCCAAGTGCTGTACTCGGCAGCCTTTGCCGTTGGTGTACGACTATCTCTCTGGCGGAGAACAATGAGTCCAGCAGTCGAAGAAAAGAAGATTGTGTATGCTGCCAAGCCTACAAGATGTCAGTCTGCGATTTGGCGGTTTCATTCCGACGTGCGCCGCCTCACCAATGAATGTGACAAGCCCATTGAAGCTTCCAACAACCACATAGACAACCGATAATGCGCAATTCAAAAGCAGAGGGAGCCTGGCATTTCCATCAGTATAGCAGCCATACCGCCTGCGTTATGACACACTTACACGGGCACGTTTCTCCGCCAACGTCGGTCTTGTGTCCAAGACAGAAAACCTATGATCGGCCCTTTGACCAACCTCGGCAGAGAAGACATATACTCGTCAGCACAGCCGGCCTCATCCTTTTCTTGACTGCAGTGCAGGTTCGCCAGAATAGCAGGGAGGTACCCCCTCTGACTTGCGACTACGACGAGTTTGGCGGTCGCGAAAATGTTCGAGTTCAAGGCACCCATCGCCGAAACAGACACTACCAGGCAGAAGAGTAGTCCAGCCCAGTTGCCGAGAATCCTGTTGGCAAAGTCCTAAGGATTTCATGTCAACGTCTAGCATAGCTTTGGCTGGTTCGGGGGGGATGTCAAGCTTACCACTGCGACAGTGCTGCTTGTCCGCATGACACTCATGGGCAAACAGACGTACAGAGCAGCGTTCATCAGCAGGAAGCCGATAATCACCACAGCCATAGAGCCGTTTACCACGATTGGCAGATCCTTTTTAGGATTCTTCATGTCTCCCAACACAAAGCCAATCTGCATGATACTCAGTACTCGGCCATGTGTGAATGGAGGGGATGCAAAAGTAACTAACCATTTCCCAACCGGCGTAGCACCACAGTGCCCCGAATGTCGCCGTCCCAAAGTCTCCAAGCCACTCCCAGAGACCAACCTCATGCTGCTCGGGAGCCTGTCCGAACCAACCATACTCGGATGACGGAACTCCGTCTCCATGGCCAAAGGCCCAGACACCACAGCCGAGTACGATAATAGTAGCCAGGGCCGTCGTCTTGAGGAAAAGAAACAGTTTGGCCGCCTCAGCGCCAGCGGTTGCGCCCAGGCAGTTGACGAGCGTCATGACCACGATGCAACCCGCCGCCACCAGCTTTGGAACCCACAACGGCAGCGTCCCCTGATCCGCGACGAAGGCCTCGGTGAGGTAGTCGGCGAAGATGGTCGCGATCATGGAGTTGGCCGCGGGCTTGATGATGATGCACCACACCCACGTGAACAGGAACCCGGCGAACTCGCCATAACAGGCACGCAGGTACTCCTGGATGCCGCCGTTGACGGGGATCCGGAGCCCGAGCTCGATGAAAGACGCCGCACCCGTCCAGACGAGCAGGCCGCCGAAAAGCCATGCCAGCAGGCCGTACCCCGGAGCCGTGACGAACTGGCTGATCTGCGAGGGGACGCTGAAGATCCCGGAACCGATCTGGAGGCTGATGACGATGGCGAGGCCGTTGAAGAGCGTGAGTTTCCGGGCGGCCGCGGGGTCGCCGTCGTCGTCGCCGTCGTCGTCGCCGTCACCGCCGCGGGACACCGGCGGCTGCTGGAGAAACGGCGTGGTCTCGTCGGTGTGGAGGAGGTCCGGCATCGGAAGACTTGAAGCTCGACTTGGAGCGGGGAGGATCGCAACTATGCAGCTTGTGAAATGTTGCTCGAACAAGTGTGGCTCGAAAACAGCACAAGTTCCGCTAGCCTTGCGCCCTTGCCCCCCCTGTGCCGAGAGCTTCCATGTGTTTGGGTATAAGCAGGCTCGGATGCCGACTTTGAGAAGGTCAATTGCGACACTAGTTGCACAGCTTCGCCTTATCTCTAGGATGTGTTGACAGGGATCTTAGCCTCTGATAGCGTTGATAGCTTCGGCGGTTTCAATTTGCTCACTGGAAGCTGAAACGCCGCTCACCTGCGTTGACAACACATGGCCCGACTGGCATGGTGGCGTAAGTCAATAAAACAAAAAGGTATTCTTGCAGAGCCTTAACCAAGAGTTAGTCTAAGCAAAAACAGGTTCCAAGCTGCACCGCTGAGTTTCCTCAACAGCGAGCGATGACAAGACCAGGGAATTGAATCAATGAACTAGTGAAAGGGTCATAGTCTGTCAGATTCAACATCTTTGCAACAAATAGCGAGTCGCTTCTCAGCCCTGATGGTCTAGCGGTATGATTCTCCCTTAGGGTTGTCTTCGACTTCTCAATCTGGGAGAGGTCCCAGGTTCGATCCCTGGTTAGGGCCCATCCCTTTTGCCAGATTTGGCAATCTAATCTTTTGAAAGCCGTGGTGAATGGACATTGGACAACTAGGGTTTTGTGCCTGTCTTGCTCAACGCTTCTTTCCTATACTTGACTGAGGTGAATGAAGGAGCTGGTGGTGGTATGAATAGTGAAATAAGATGACAGCCAGCCAGCATCTGTTGCGTTGGCACGAATTCCAGGCACCCGACGGTGAGAGGCGCTTATAACCCGGGCCTGTCTTCCAGTTCTGGGTACTATCGGAGACCTGACCATCTTGCAGAGCGCAATGTCACCTACGAAGAAAACAGAATTCTGAAACACATTTACCATTCCTACAGTTGAATAGATGAAGAGATTCAAGGGTTAGCAGCGTACACTGCACTACCTAGCGAATGCAGTGTCCCAACCATTAACCTGTGGAGCAGCCAATCGAGGTGGAACCGACGCACTGTCCAGCAGACTTTTGCCAGCACTGTGAGCAGTTTCGTGTCACGTGACCCGGCCCGGGCTACTTCGCTAAGTCGGTACGTAGCTTTTAGGGTCTCCGCCCACCAAATCGGCGAGCAACTCAGAAAAAAAATCACAGGTGAAATTGTATCGCGAAGCCAGAAAGTGCTCAACTTCAACCCCGTCACTAACCCAGCAGCACTGAAGCCCACCGTTGACCCAGGTAAGGCTCCCAATTCCACTATCGTCCCTTGTCGAAATTTTCTCCATCTCCAGCAAAGCGTCTCGACCGCCAAAATTTTCTCCCTTCTTTTCCCTTTCCTTCTCCCGTCCAACCCTTTTTTCTCCCGCCGTCAACTGACCCGTCCGTCCTCAGGGTCAAGCACGATCAGCACAATGGCTTCGAGACCTACCGTCACCATCATCGGCAAGGATGGCAAGTCCTCCGGCAACACCCACACCCTGCCGGCTGTCTTCCTGAGCCCTATCCGCCCCGATATCGTCCAGGAGGTTCACAAGGGCATGGCCAAGAACAAGCGCCAGCCCTACTCCGTCAGCGAGAAGGCCGGTCACCAGACCTCTGCCGAGTCTTGGGGAACTGGTTAGTCGTCAACTCACCGAAGGGTGCGAAGAGAAGTTTTCCAGCAGGAGCGGGGACCGATTCGGAATGGGGTAAAGGAACGCGAGGGGACCTCTGGCAGAAGTCTTGGACGGGCATGTCGACACATGAAAAAGAAGGAGAACGACTGCTGGAAGAGACCATGCCGAGGGAACGAGCGGGATTCCTTCCCCATCGAATCGTGTCTGCGACTGCTGGAGGACGACAACACCACTCTGCGGCTGCGACGGGGAACAAATGAGCTACCGCTACGGGCTCCTGCTCTCCTACCACTGCCACCACCCAACCCGCTTCGGCCCTGCGGACGGAAAATATCATCGGCCTTCGGTAACATGTGCCGTTCCGGTCGCATGTTCGCCCCTACCAAGACGTGGCGCAAGTGGCACGTCAAGGTCAACCAGGGCCAGAAGTGAGTATCTCCCTCCCTTCTTTTCTTCCTAAACCCCCACCGCGGTGGGGTGGCATAAGACAAGAAAAAAAAAGCCGCCTAGGAATGCCGTTTCTAACAAGATGTCACCCCGCAGGCGCTACGCTACTGTCTCTGCCATCGCCGCCTCCGGCGTTGCCCCTCTCCTCCAGGCCCGCGGTCACCAGATCTCCAACGTCCCCGAGGTCCCCCTCGTCGTCGACTCGGCTCTCTTCGAGAACGCCGCCGTCGCTCGCACCGCCGCTGCCGTCTCTCTCCTGAAGACCGTCGGCGCTGCCGATGACGTCGAGAAGGTCAAGAAGTCCAAGAAGCTCCGCGCCGGTAAGGGCAAGCTCCGTGGCCGCCGCTTCCGCCAGCGCCGCGGCCCCTTGGTCATCTACGACCCCGAGGTTGACGGCAAGGAGCTCGTCACCGCCTTCCGCAACGTCCCCGGTGTCGAGACCTCCCCCGTCACCTCCCTCAACCTCCTCCAGCTCGCTCCCGGTGGCCACCTTGGCCGCTTCGTCGTCTGGACCTCTGCCGCCTTCAAGTCCCTGGACACCATCTACGGCACCACCACCCAGCCCTCCGCCCTCAAGAAGGACTTCCTGCTGCCCTCCAACATCGTCTCCCAGAGCGACCTGACCCGTCTGATCAACAGCTCGGAAACCCAGTCCGCCCTGAACGAGCCCAAGGGCTACGCTCTGACCCGTCGCTCCGCGGTCCAGAAGAAGAACCCCCTCAAGAACAAGCAGGTCATGCTCCGCCTGAACCCCTACGCCTCGGTATTCTCCAAGGCGGCTGCCCAGAAGAAATAAGCAAATTTCTCTGACGGGTGTCTGACGACGGTGGTGGAACGGACGGTTCTGAAAAAGGACGGGGCTACATTTTAGCATGGTTTGTGCTTTGAGGCGTAATGGACAACTAGGAAACGTTGACCTCAATTCATCAATGGACAAATGATTCCCTTGAACAACAAAAGACAGCTGGCGTGTTCAAAAAAAAGACAAGGGTCTGTCTGGCCCCTGGACCGTGACGACTTGATTCCACGTGATGATGAATTTCCTTGCATCTTTTTTTTGTACACTCTCATTTCTGTAGTGACTGAAAGGTAGCTACAAAAAGTTTTTTTTTTTCTCCCTCTCCAAACCTCTCATGGCGTTCGATGTGACCTGTGTGCTCTGTGTCTTGCCTGCCTGTCTTGTGTCTCGTTGAGGGCGATGTATGATATAAACTCGTGTATAAAAAACTCCATCCAATTAGTCACGTCTCTCTTACGCCTCCTGCCCGGGGTCATCGGTCCGCCTAGCAACCCATAAAGGTGCCCAGGTTGCCGAATCCCTCGTCCTCCTTGTCGGGCGGGGGGAAGTCGCCGAGAAGCTCCTCGACCTCCTCGACCTTCTTGATCCTCCAGAACCTCTGGATGGCCTCGACCAGCTTCTGCGAGCAGAGGTCCACCTTCTCCTCCGTCTCGGCCGCGAAGCACAGGCGCCAGTAGGCCCACCCCCGCTCGGCGCGGATCGCCGGCGTCGCGGCGAAGATGAGGCCGGGGCTGACGAGCACGCGGTACGGCTTCTTGGTCGCTAGGAACATGAGCGCCGTCGACAGCCGCTCGCCGTCGAGCAGCGGCACCGTCTTGCCGCCCGTCGCCATCCACAGCGGGTGCGTCTCGAGGCGGAGCCTGAGCCAGACGAACATGCCGCCGCGCGGCCAGTCGAACTCGTAGATGCGCGTCTTGCTGACGACGCCCCAGTCGGCGTCCTTGGCGTTGCGAGGCGTCGACTGCTTCAGCTGAAAGGCGCCCTCGTCGAGGATCGTGCACATGCGGTTCATGCGCCGCTCGTACACGCCACGGAGGCCCTCGAGCCAGCGCACCCAGCCGTCCATCTGCCAGCCCTCGAACGTCTGCTTCTGGCGGGCGGTGAGGGCGGCGAAGGCGGACCGCGCCGCGGCGGGCTGTTCGCCCATGACCAGCTCGGCGACGGTGGACTGCACGAAGCCGGAGGGCTGCTGCGTCGTGACCTCGGTGATTCTGCGGAATGTGTCAGGCCCAATGCTCGCGCGCACTTGCCAGGCTTCGTTGGAAGGGCGGAACATACCTCAACAGGCGCTCAATGATGGCGGGCTGCGCCGTGATCCAGCCCAGCCTGCATCCCGGGGCGATGGTCTTGGAAAAGGTGTCGAGACGGATGACTCTGCCGTCGGTGTCGACGCTCAGGAACGACGGGGTCAACGAGTCGATGAACGGATATCCCGAGGACTTGGCGGGCTTATAAGGCGCGGAGGGCGGAGGGACCTCCACACCCCGGGACCTGGCCTCCTCCACGGCGGCCGACGGGTACTGCAGATAATAGTACGGGTCGTCCTCGACGATGATAATGTCGTACTTGCTGGCGACCGCGTAGATCTCCTTGCGGCGCTCGACCGAGAGGACGCCGCCAGTCGGGTTGTGGCCCATGCTACCTCCCCCGCCACGTATTAGCCATGCTCCAATGTCTCACATGAGAATGGGTACCCCTCCTCCGGAGCGAGGAATTTCTGAGAGTCCCTAAGAGAGAAGATAAAAAGAGGGAACCCCAATGCAAGACAAAAAAACTCTAAATAAAATACTCACGTAACAGTGTATATGAAGGACGGCCTCTTGCCGTTCCTCTCGTCCCACGCGGCCAGCACGTCCTCCAGCGCGCCGACGCTCATGCCGCCCTCGTCCATCTCGACGGGGACGACCTGCACGCCCCGCGGCAGCGCCTGCGTCAGCACCTGGCTGTACACAAAGACCTCGCACAGCATGCCGGGCCTGTCGGCCGCGGCGTCCCGCGCCGGATCCCACGTATCGGTCAGAAGCTCCAGCGTCTTGGCGAAGCCGTCGGTCGAGCCGCAGCTGAGGATGACCTCGGGCCCGCCCAGGTACGGCACGTCCGGGTGCAGTTGCTCCCGCGCGAACTGCCTCACGAACGACCGCAGCGGCGGGTACCCCTCGGCCGTGCCGTACTGCAGCGCCGTCGCCAGGTCGATGCGTTGGAGCGGGTTGCGTTCCGCGTCCGTCCCGGGGACGGTGACGTGCCGCGCCGCCTTGACGTCCTTCTCCTTGTCCTTTTTCGCGGCGCCGGCGCCGGCGGTACCGTCCCCGGGGATCGGCGACGGCTCCCAGCGCTCGGGCTTCGCCGCCTGCGCTTCAAGGGTGTCGAACGGGAACAAGCTCGAATGCGGAAGGCCTAGCAAGGGAGGGGGGCCGTGCAGTCAGCGAGTCGTGCTCTCAAAAAAGAATAGGAGAGGAAAAGACGGGACTGCCGAGATCGGGATTGCGAATGCCATTGGGTCATTCGACGCATACAATACGCAATTGCAACGTTGGGGCGGGAAGCACGCAAGGCAAGGCGTGTATTACGGCATGGATGGCGGCATCCTCCCGCGATATCCTGCGGGGGAGGGACGAACCAACCGCCGGGTTGCCTCCGAATAGACGGGAAGTGAGTGGTGTGCAACCACCAGAAAATCGCCGTATCTATCAAAAAGGGAAAAGGGAAAAAAAAAGAAGGGAGAGGGTACAAGGCAGTTTAAAATGAAAATGCAAAAAGTGTAGAAAGGAGAGATGGGCTGGGAAAAGACATACCGCCAGCCAGGTTTCCGATGCCCGGGATCTGGAAGTACTTGTAATACTCCTTCATCTTGCTGGGGATGCGCCTCATGGTGACGGAAGAGAAATGGTGTTCCATGTCGAGGGGCGGCCTCTTGGCCGAGTGGTCCATTTCGGCGGCGGACATATCGACGGTCGATTTCGACAGAGGTGATGGAAAGAAGGATGGTGGCCGGTGTCGTCGATGTGGTCTCTTCGCGGTGTGCTGCCTCGGCCGTCGACAGGGCGGTTTGGTTGAGTGAGCGAGTGAGCTCTGGATGGGAGGTTTGCGGGCAAGGCTTTAGACAATGGAGAGGGTTCACTGAGCCCTGAGCCGGCGATCAAGATCCAAACACGAAGGAGGGGGACCCAAAGATAAGCAAGTCGAGAAGGTTAGCTAGCGTGTGAGGAAAGATACCGCAAAGATTACGTGGTAGGATATAGCCATTGACATGTCGAGCCCTCCCCTTGCACCCCGGCCAGCCAGTCTCCCCCAGCTCTCGCTCCCGGGATTACAAATCGGCATCCATCTCGACCTTGGGTTGAGTGACCCGATAAGGAAGCTCCAGAGGAACAGCTCATTGATAAGGTCGGTCCCGGCAGTCGGTTGCCGACTGGGCCGCGCGGTGGGAGGACAGGGGTCTGGAACGTGGCAAGCCGGTTCGGACGGTCAACGAGTGATTGGAAAAGCGGTTCCAGCTCCACCAGGACGCGCCGTCCGTCCCAGACGGCGTTGGCGCGTGGCGGCGGCGACGCGGCGGCGGCGCCCCCGGGGGAGCGGTAGCGCCGTCACCGAATCCCTGGTTGTGGGAATTACACTTTGGATGAGTTTGGACCCTGGAAACCGCTGAAACTCTGCGTCGATAAATCATGTCATCATGTTCATCCAAACCCTGGGTTTGAGGTCACCGCCCGTCGTCATCACAGTCCAACGCAGCAAACCGAGAAAGGCCTTGGAAAACATGAACACTCTAATTCTAATTAGCGTAAAGCTCGATCGATACTCTGCATCTTGCTTCGCTATGGAGCACTAATTATGTGTAGAGCTCTCTGGTGCTGGACGGCGGTACAAGTACAAATAGGGGGGGAACCGTCATGGTAGGCATACATTTTCCCCTCCTTTCCTCCCCCTCCAGATAACAGACTGATGCCTTGAGCCGTCCGTCATTTTCTTTCACGCCCTAAAACGCCTTGCTGAAATCATACAACAGGAAACCCGTTTAGACACATATCCACCCCCCCAATTCTCCCTCCCTCTCTCTCTCTCTCTCTCTCTCTCATTATCCTGTCCCCTTACAAGTATGGCATCCAGAGCGCATCGCACTGGGCCAGATTCATGGGGTTTACAGCCTTTGCAATCAGGTCAATAACCGTCTGGTTGGCCGGCAAGTTGCCCACGGGGCTCTGTGCCAAGCTGACGGCGCGCTTGACGACCGAATCGCTATTGACCTGCACCGACTCGCGGAGCTGGTTCTCCGTCATCTGCACGGTCCTGTGCGAGCTCGTGAACCAGAAGATCATCTCGTCGCGCACAAAGAGCGTAAGGGCATGCTCAAGCTCGTACTCGGGCTCCGTGAGGCATCGCGCGACGGCCATGAGGGCGCAGCTAAAGATACCTTCCGTCGCCAACGGCCCCATCAGGGTCTGAAGGTTGGGCGTGAGTCGGAACGGCACTGGCTCCGGGTTATGGAAGAAGGGTTTCGCGGCGCTCATGTACGCCATGAGCTCCGATCCCCAAATGTTGCCGGATCCGCGGGCGATGTTGATCTTCTGCGGGTACCGGTTGTGCATGTAGAGGATATACGTCATGAAGGTGAGCGACGCCAGCTGGTACGAGAACTGTCTGCGGAACAGCCAGAACTCGGTAAAGTCGGGGAAAGCCCGCTGGAAGTATTCCAGCGCCAGGTTCTGCGGCACCCATTTCTCCTGGATGGCGTGGAACACCTCGAGCCGAGCGGTCGCGGTTTGCTCAGCGTGCTTCTGTGGCGCATCGTTAGGCTCTGTCAACTGCTCTGTTACCACAGTACTTACCGAGTTCTTGGTGTCGAGAACGCCGCGCAGCTTCTCCATGGTGAATAATACAGGGTCGTCCTTGGACATGCCGTGACGGCGGCAGTGGTCCTCGTACACGCTCTGGAGGGTGATGTATGAAGTGTCTTCCTGCACGATACGGATGTGGGGTGCCAGAGGAACCATCAGGGGCAGAGTGAACTGGAGATCTCGGCGACGGCTCTCCTTCCTTCTGCTCAAGGTCTGGTTCAGTTGTCTGAACAGCTGCAAGATACGCTCCTCGCGGCGGCAGTGTCTCGCAGCAGGGTGCTGCACAGCCCACGAGTGGATGCTTCCGTCGTGGCCGCGCATCTGGAGACGACGGTACGAGGCGCTGATCGACCTCACCAGGTCAACGTTGGGCAAGAAGCGCTCGATGCGGATGAAGTCCTGGTTCTTGTCCTTGTGCTGCAGGTATTGGCCGGGCACCTCGACATCATCGAACCGCTGATAGCGGAATTCCGAGAGGTGAGGCGAGAAGGCCTCGAGAGAAACCCGCGTGGTACGGCGGTCGAGCTTCTCCTCGAACTTGTTGCGCCAGCGCCTCAGCTTGTGGATGTACTCATACATCGTGGGCTTGACGTCGACGAAATCGGCCTCGAACGACTTCTTGATATGAGCAGGAAGGATCGTCTCGGCGAAGCGCGTGATGTTGGTCTCGGTGGCCGAGGGAAGCTTGACGTCCTTGGCAAACGAGGAAGGCATGCGGCTGACGTACGCCAGCGCGTCGTTGAGGAGAGCAACGATAAGACGGTACGCGTCCTCGTCGGGCGGGCACTTGAAATGCTTCTGGATCTGGTCCACCATGGTCTCCATTGACAACGCAAGGAGAGGGAAAGCCGTCTTGAGGGCGCTCATAATCTCTTCGGTAAGCTCCCATGGCGGCTTCTTCTGACCGGCGGCACCCGACTGGTCCCCGGTACCGTTGGCCTGAGGAGCAGGAGTGCCGTTCGCGTCGTTGCCCTCGCTCTTGACGGGGGCGTTTGCGTCACCACCACTGGCGGTGCCAGGTCTCGAGCCGGAGGCATCCGGCTTGGCGATGCCGTCCTGCTTTGGTTGTTGGGGTGATGCGCTAGGCTTGCCGTTGGACACGGTAGATTGAGCGCGCTGGCGCGCCTTCTCCTTGGCTTCCTGGTTCTTCTTGATGACCAGCATGTCCTCCCTGTTGGTGCGGAGCTGGAAGTACAGGGCTTGGGGGTATGACCTGGCGATCTTAATCAGGATCTGGTGGACCCTCGGTGCCTCCTTGTGGCCCAGGCCGGTGATGAGCTGGGGAATGTAGGTGATCCAATACCAAACAGGAGTTTCGCCCTTGAAGTCGTCAAAGCCAGCAGCGATGGAACCGTTGGCATCGTCCAGGCTGAGCAGCCACAAGATGCGGGCAATGAGCTTGCGTGATTTGGCGTTCTTGTAGCTGCCGGCCGCTTGCAGATACGACGTAAGCGCCTGGCGGGCCGAGTTGATATCTGACGGGTCCTCCTTGTACTTGCGCTCGTTGAAGTAGCCCCACTCGGCCCAAGCCTTGGCCGCCGTGATGTCAAAGTACAAGGCTGTGCCGTAGGCCGAATCGGCTTCTTCCTTCTGCTTGAGCTTCTCGAGGAACATGCCCTTGAGGGTGTAGAACTCGGCCTTCTGAGGCGGATTGAAGTAGTTGAGGTTCGTGTTGTTGATCACGTCCAATCCGCTCGTGAGCTCCTCGGGATTCTCGTAGTGACACTTGGCCTGCTCTCGCAACTTGAGGAAGGCTTCCTGAATCTCGATGTTGGGCAGAGTGTAGATCCTGCTCAGCTGCGTAATGCAAACCTCTGGAAGGCTGTGCTTACGGGCGACATGTGCGAAGCGGTTGATGATCCAGGCAGTCTCGTGGTACCCTCGGTAGGCGAACGAGGCGCCGCTGGCGTTCTGCCCACCTCCTTGGGGAAGCAGCTGGAGGTACGTCTGATTGATGAGGCCGAAGATGTGCTGACGCCAGGTGACCAGGTCTTGCCAGGCGGTGATGTCGTCCCAGACGTTGGGCAGACGGTCGCGCCAAGCTCCGAGCAGAAGCTTTAGTTCTCCAGATTTGACATCCAGGTTGGCCTGGTTGGTGCTGGCCAGACTGTTGCAGATGACACTCGCGTCGTGGAGCTCGACCAGTTGCTGGAAATTCTGAAGCAGAGGGATGTGTGCCTTGGTCAGCCGCTTGGGCAACTGGTGCCACTTCCTGATCGACAGCTGGATAGCCTCGTCGCAAGCCTTGGCAAACTCCTGCGGCGTTTCCTGCTTGTTGTAAAACTTGAGAAGCGACATGAAGGCTTGGAAGAAGGCACGGCGCGGTGTCGGGGCGTCCATAACACCCTTGATGAGGTTGTCCAAGGCCTCGCGGTGCTCCTGCGTCTGCCACATCTCGGTGTTGTTTCTCCACGCACACTCGAGGAGCAAGTCCTGGAAGTTCTCGTGCTTAGCAAAATCTTGCAGGATCTCCCACTGCTGCAGCTTCTGTGCACACAAAACCCAGTGGTCTTCCCAGAGGACGTATTCGGCTTGGGAAAAGGGGATGACGCCGGTTCTAGCTTTTATCTGAGCGGCCTCGTACATCTTCTGCGCCTTGTCCCACATGCCATTCTGCTCGTAGGACAAAGCGGCGTTTGTCTCCACAAACTGGCATCGTCGGCGCCATGTGCCGTAGAAGAGATCGTCTTCCTGGAGAGAAGCATACAGCTCCACAAGCGCGTCGAGGTTGCTTTCACGAACGATTGCCGACTCGATCTCTGGTTTGATGGCCGCGTTCTCAAGCTGTACGAGCGCGGTGTACCAGGCATCGTACGTCTTGGCCTCGTACTTGAGAACGTGCGGCGGAATCTTGCATTCAGGCCAAGCCTTGGCCGCACCCTCAAGCAGGGACTGAACCACGTTCGGTCGCTTATCAATCTGGCGGCTGTGATAGTCCTTGGTCAAGAGCGCAACCATGCCTCGCTCCAGATCGTGACGCTCCTCCTTCATCGTCGCAGACCAGTAAATGGGGAACAGGGCAACCCAGAGTTGATGCGCCAACGTCGCGTCGACGTGCTGGAGCTGGACCAGAGGCTCGATGAGGTCTCGTACCTTGACCTCGCCGAG